AGCCGGGTTGCAGCTAAACGTCAAAAAAACCAAGATTATGGCAACAAGAATGATTGACAACTGGAAAATAGAGGGAGAAACCGTGGAGGCAGTGACAGACTTTGTATTTCTAGGTGCAAAGATTACTGCAGATACAGACTGTAGCCAGAAAATCAGAAGACGCTTACTTCTTGGGAGGAGAGCCATGTCCAATCTTGATGAAATAGTGAAGAGTAGAGACATCACACTGGCAACGAAGATCTGCATAGTTAAAGCATGGTATTCCCTGTAGTAACCTACGGATGTGAGAGCTGGACCTTAGGGAAGGCTGAGCGAAGGAAGATCGATGCTTTTGAGCTGTGGTGTTGGAGGAAAGTTCTGAGAGTGCTTGGACTGCGAGAAGATCCAACCAGTCCATCCTCCAGGAAATAAAGCCCAACTGCTCACTGGAGGGAAAGATACTAGAGACAAAGTTGAAGTACTTTGGCCACATCATGAGGAGACAGGAAAGCCTAGAGAAGACAATTATGCTGGGGAAAGTGGAAGGCAAAAGGAAGAGGGGCCCACCAAGGGCAAGATGGATGGATGGCATCCTTGAAGTGACTGGACTGACCTTGAGGGAGCTGGGGGTGGTAACGGCCGACAGGGAGCTCTGGCGTGGGCTGGTCCATGAGGTCACGAAGAGTCGGAGACGACTGAACGAATGAACAACAACAAATATATAACTCAATACCTATTCTATCTATCTCTATAGTACTCAATAGCTTCTCTATCTGAATCTCAATATGCTTCTATATAGTTCAGTATCTCAATAGTCTATCTCAATTAGTTCTTATAATGGTTTTCTCAGAGTTACCTGCTGCCCAACAGCACATCTGAAGCTTTCTTTCTCTACTGAAAGAGGCAGGGGAGATTCAAAAATGGAGATCTCAACCTAGGAAAAAAGGCGGTCTCTAGACCCAAAGAGATACTTTCTAAACCAATAGCTGCAAAAGGAGGCCTGCAGACTGGCTTTCCAGCCTCTAATAATGTTAACTTTAGAGTGCAGCTAAGATTGTAGCAACTCTGGGTAAATGCAAAGGAACACTATCCCATGCAACTAAAGATAATGCAAACTATGCTCCTGGAAGACAGAACAAGCACCTTCTCTTGAATTGTAGGAAAATAATGTTCAAACACATCTTTCAAAGCTTTGAGATTTGACTGAATATTTTCCTGTATTTTTTTCTTAAATCTTGATGTTATTTTCTTTCAAGAAGCATTTTGTAAGAGGGAAGCAATTGATGTTTTCCCTTTCCACACACTTCAGCCAATATACAAGTTTCCTCTTAAAGGAAGACACCTTAGCATTGTATCAAAAACTGTTGCAGTTTTTCCTTGCAATTATATAGATTCATTTTGCTAAAAATGTTGGCCAAATACAGCAGTTTGCATACCAAGTCTTCATCTTTTAAATCCATCACCGATAGTGTTTTATGTTGTTGTTGTTTATACGTTCAGTTCCTTCTGGCCCTGTCGGCTGCACCACCTGCAGCTCCTTCAAGGTCAAGCCAGTCCCTTCAAGGAATCCATCCATCTTGTCCTTGGTCGGCCCCTCTTCCTTTTTCCTTCCATTTCCCCCAGCATCATTCTCCAAGCTTTCTAGTCTTCTCATTATGTGGCCAAATTACTTCATCTTTGCCTCTAATATCCTTCCCTTGAGTGAGCAGTCAGGCTTTATTTCCTGGAGTATGGACTGGTTGGATCTTCTTGCAGTCCCAGGCACTCTCAAAATTTTTCTCCAGTACCACAGTTCAAAAGCATCTATCTTCCTTCGCTCAGTCTTCCTTATGGTCCAGCTCTCACATCCATAGGTTATCCATCGAGTATTATAATCCAACAAAAATGCAGTTAGTTCTGCATGCAGGTCCATCAAACCTGTCTACCCTTTTCCTCGAGACAACCACCTTACTTCAGTGTGCATCAGGAGGGACTCGAGGTGGCTTCTTATATCTTCACATGTTAGTTTGAAGAATCTGCTTTTAAAAGGTTGCAATTGTATATAGTTTATTATTTTGGGCCTCAATCAGCGCTCCAAGCCAGCCTCTATTTATATGGGGCTGAGTTCTGAGAAGCTTTGAGGGAATTCCAAGAATTTTCAAATGGTCAAAACACCCTGTGGGGTTTTTTTTTTAAAACTTTGTTCAAATTCTGATTAGAGCTATGAAAAATACTAAAAAGTTATGTTTTGGTCATGTTTGAAGCAAAAAAAGAACAAGGAAATGACAGGGTCACTGCATAGAAAAGCCGGTGAAATACTAAAAGGAGGGAAACAATACCGTATAATACCTTCTTTGCATCAGTCATTCTCAAAAGTGAAACAGTTCTCTAAGTGGTGAAAATAGAATAAGTCGTGCAGAAGGAGGACTACAGCCTAGAATAGGTAAATGGGTATTAATGAAATGCCTAGCTTCTCAAAATGAATTTATATCTTCAGGGGGTGATGAGCTGCATCCCAAAGTATTAAAGGAACTTCCAGATGTGCTGGAACAAAGTACCTCTGAGTACACTTTTGGTCTGAGTACACTCTTTATTTACACTATTAGAACTGGCATTCAAACACAGATCTCTTTCAATTTCCCTCCTAAACTTTCTTGAAAATTAGGTTGTGTTCTGTTGTGAAATTCCTTGCTGAGTTGGGGGCTCAACAGTAGCACGTGGACCAGATCACTTGATGATCTACTGCACATCTACACATTTACCAGTTCGATAGCAGTCTACCTTCTACTCATGCTTTCAATATCATATGCAGAGCTCATAGGGCACTGGCCAGGGCAATAGAATATTCTTCATGAAATAAAGTATGCCCAGTGTCACATCTGAAAGTCTCTTTGAGGGCATATTCTATGTGAAGAATGCTGGAGGCGGGGAAACCATCTTTTGGGGCAACTTTTCTACTATTATTGATGTTACCCTGAATAACTGAAGTCAGTCCCTGAGTTACAAACATCTGATTTATTTTTTATTTGTTTGATTCATGTATACCCTGCCTTTCTTACCCCCATAGGGGGACTCAGGATGGCTCCACTGAAGCTTTATTACCAATCCTTGTTGCACAACAAGCTAAAGTTTCAAAATCAATTCTCACAGGGACAGAATGTGAGGTGAAATCTTTTGAACAGGAGCACAGGCAGCAAAACAAACACCACAGCTACCCAAAGCTTATATATATATATATATATATATATATATATATATATATATGCTGGAGGTACACTTAAAAATGTACCAGTTCCAACTTACATACAAATTCAACTTAAGAACAAACCTACAGAATCGATCTTGTTCATAAGTTGGGGGCTGCCTTCTTGAATAATGAAACATTTCTCTTATGATGGGACGAAGAGAATACAGTCAATAAAAGGATAATGAGGATTTCAGTATTTTGTCTATCACAACTTATCTATATTTTTCTATTTATAGAATAAAAGTGAAGATATGTATTATGTATGTATGTGTGACGATGTGTAAATTTTATTCCTTTGGTTATGTGTAGTTTGGACAATGGTTTAGGGATGGTAA